ATTGTGTCGTGGGTTCGTCTGGGAAAAATGTGAAGCGCGCCCCGCAGGCTCACGAAAGCTTGCTTTTCGGAGAGTGGACGGGTGGGGCATGCCAGGGAAGAAATTAGAACCCAATTCGAATGCCCAATAAAACAGTTACGAGGGCAAATTTGGTCGCCTACTCAAACCTTGGGAGAAGACACTGTAGGTAGCTGTAATATCATCGCTAATCCCCCGCCCGACCAACGGCGAACACGTACATATAGGGGAGTGTGCCCAAACCTCGGGCGAGATCACTGAGAGTAATTTTCCAGTGGTATAACCAAAACCAACTAGGAAAAAGCTTAACAAAGTACAAAAGGCAGGGAGATTAGGCAAATAACCTTACTGTAAATTTGTAAGTAAGCGGTAATTCCCGAGGGTAGTTCGGAAGGCCTAATTTGCTTAGTTTGGCGATTTCAGCAGTTATGGAATGTGCTTGCATTCGGAGAACCGTTCTGCATTTCAATGCCATCAGAAAATCCCTGCTAGATCGATGGATGGCGTGTAGAAATCCAGAAGTTTACAGGTATTTCAACCTACTTAAAAATTTAAGTAGGTAGCTACAATAGACAAGGACCCAAAAACGACCGCTAGAGACAACCTCACCGACCACTACACCCGCTGGTCACAAGCCCTTTAATTGACAAACGCAGAGGCAGACACTCTCAAAAACGACTTTTTCAGTCGTTGTGTTGCATTTTTTGGTACGCCATCTATGGTTTCCACTGATGGATGGGGCCCAGTTGGTGTCTGACCTCTTGGTTGCACTGGCCGCCCGACAAACGCCTACCCCCTTGCCGCCAATGGCATGATTGAACGATTTCACCGCCACCTCAAATCTGCCCTGCGTGCTGTATATGACCGAGGCAACTTCTCGGACAACCAGCCTCTTTTCGTCCTCGGAATTTGCTCAGCAGTGAAGTCGAGTCCGGATTTCAGCGCGACCGAGCTGGTGTGTGGCACAACCCTCCGACTTCTCAGCGAGATAGTCAGTCCCACTTCTGATAGTCTCTAGTAATCTTAAAAAAATATTTGTGCATCGTGTCAAGCAGTGTATGCATTCTCTTTCCCCGGTCTCGCATCCTTCTCTATCAACCAATACTATGTCAAGAAGGGCTTGGCAATGTGACCGGGTGCGGAAGCCCTTGGAACCACCTTATGAAGGACCGTTCCGTATCCTCAGACGCAAAGACAAGAACTGTCGCATCCTTCGTGGGGACAAGGAAGACATGGCCAGCATAAACAGGCTTGATTCTGCTGAAACGGAAGGCACACTGGACTTGCCATCAGGGAATATGTTTGTTGATTCCCTTTTGCAAAGTCATTCCACCCCGTGCTCATTCCCATTCTCATACTCAATCCCATCGTCCCGCATACTTCCTCTGTCTACACTACACCCAACTATCACCTCACTCTTAACCGCCATATCAAGTCCTCAGCCCTCCCTAGCTGTTCCTCCCGTTCACATCAATCGCAGTGGACGTCAGCCCACTTCCCCGATTGTTTGAGTCTCGCACAGCTTCTAGCCTTACGTCCGTCCTCTGTCGTTGTTTTACTGTACCGACTTACTAGACTAAATAGAATTGTAGCAATCTTGTGATATTTTCTTTTCTGAACTATTTTGTTTTATTGGGGCGAACTCTCGCCCGACATACAATTGCGCTGGACTTGCTGACATTCATTACGGTTGTTGCGCCCTTATCACATTGGAACTTCTCCCTGTAACGATCAGATTATTTTGGCAAATCATTCCCGTGAAGCAATTAGTTAGTGTGATTCGGCGTCATTTTTCGTCAGTCTGTCCACGGGAGGGTTTTAGATGGGGTGATTTTTGCTCCCCGGCAAGGCTATCAAGTGTGACAATAAAACAGCGGATAGTCTCCACCGGTGTTGCTCGCTGGTCGAGACGGTTATCATATTTTAAGCGCTAGGCCAGGGGATAGCTTTTAATAGAAGATTAGGGGCCATACGGTGCAGTCACTACCTGCCTGTGCCCACACGCACTCGCCTCTACTTTGCGTTGGAGTATCTGCCACAAACTTCAAATTTTTCACTTTTGTTTTCGCGATATCGTTCTGCTTAAGGCTATGGATGACACTTGAACCTGTCCGTCCATAGGCAGGCGCATTGGGAAACCGTCTATGCGTATGCATGTGGGCAAAAATATTGTGTTTATCTTAGGGCACGCAGGGAAGCCCTTTAGAGGGTATACATATAAACTCATATCGGCCTTGTTTTAAGTGCTATAATTAGGTGCCCGCCTCAGTTCTTCGATGTCCTTGTCCTCTGGATCCTCTTCCACCTGCAATACGTCCTCTTCGGCCTTGAGTGCTGCTTCATCTAGACCACCTGACAGAATCATTTTCGTTGAGGTGTTTCGCTGTAGCCGCAGTAGCGAAACAATTTGAGACAGGTTCACAGCCTTATGTTCTGAAGCGGTCACCGATTAACGTTAGCCATTTGCGCCAGAATAAACAGTAGGTGTTCAGCCACACATACCCACAACGGTGAAAATTGCAAAGAGAACAGATCTGCAGTGAAAAAGGCCTACGCATACACAGGCCCTCAGGCTATTTTGAAAGACTCACCCATGGACATATGATAATGAATCATCAACCGACAATTTCATAGAGTTTCAGAACAGATTGCAAGGACATGAAATAGAAGCAGCCGAATTAGTGGTATCATTGTCTGTTTGTAGACTGCCTGAAAAGCAGAATTAATTGGATGCACAAATTTCAGGAGCACTCCTCAGCTGCCACCTCTCATTGCATAACGTGAATAATGAAAGTTAAAATACATAATTTAATTCACACAGAAAAATCGATAAAACAGCAAGGTCATAGGAAATGGCCAAGAGGCCAAGCAACAACATAAGAAGATTAAAACGCTGTGGGCAGCAAAAAGGGGAAGGGTATATCGCAAAAAAGTTGGTAAGAGAACTGTGTAAATTTGGAAGCTGGATTTTACCAAGACAAAGCTGGATTAACCACATTCTCCAACTGTTTACATAGGTCTGGTTTTGACCGCCCTATATAAGCTGAATCCAGGAAGCGCAAGGTTCGAGTTGTTCGTGCTCGAACAAGTACTCGGAAGGAAGTTCAAGGGTCCACAGAATGGCCCGTACCTAGTAAACATTCT